CGCTATTCGCTATTCGCTATTCGCTATTCGCTATTCGCTATTCGCTATTCGCGACTATTCGCTATTCGCTGTTCGGGTTTTCCAGACACCCCACAGGAAGAACGAGTTATCAATCTGTATGGCTAGTCGAACTCGTTGAGCAATTTTTTTCGAAGAATTGCAGACTGCAGCACTGTGAAACATATTTGTAAGCAGTTTTTAAATCTGTGTGCAGACGTAACTGTCAACTTCAATCATTAAATTTTCGAGATTTCGGCTAATGATTCTTGGAATGACACTTGAAGATTCCGAGAAAACAATGTATCAGATGACCGCTCTTGCTTTTCTTCATGAGGGTGTTTAGTGGACTGGTTATTACATGAGATTAAGTGCTCTATCATATATATCAGTTAGTACGCCTGCTGTGATCGGTCAATTTAACGCGCCTTACTCAACTGAACAGCCCGCTAAATTAATTAAAGCTGGTTTTGTCGTCAAAATGATTCGTGATTTATCCCCAAGTGTTCTTCCGTTTCATGACAAGAAGAAGTTTAAAACTTTCGTTTACTTTAAGTTGTGTATAAGACGTGCAAACGACTTACAACGATTTCGAATTGCAATGACTCGTTTTGCTTTCAACAGACGTCAATTATTTGAAATCCTTCCGAATGAATAGAAATCGATCGTTTCCCGAACCCATCAGCGTCTTCTCGATCCACACTTTAAGTTACGGATCCTCGTTTTCCCCCTTTGATTCATGGCACGTGGACCTCGCGCTTAAGTAATAAATCGAAGGGGGGAAATCGTTCCTTAATTTACAATACGGACCTCGAACTTGGTTAGTAAGAGGTTTATATTTCCCGGAGTACCTGGACGAGCGCCCAGGCAGTTTCACAAAAATCGAACGACTCAAGATCGCGCGCCGCCTGGGATAATTTGCGATTTTCTCGTGCTGTTCTATTTTTTACGGCCCTGCCTTCTATTTTCTTCGAAATCTTAGAAAAACGTTCCCTAAGGAGAGCCGTAGGCGTCGAAGTGATGGGGCCTGAAAAAGTGTTCGACCCTACCAGAAACGCACACGACCCCACACAACTCACGCTAGTAAATGACAAAATTAGGTTTAATTTGTTGCTGCGAATTTTTGTTTTCTTCTTTTAGGAGCCTACAACTGTCAGATGCAGACCTACTTCAGTTACCAAATTACTGTGCAAGTACATAAAGAAAGTCAGCACTTCTCATCAATGAAGAAGTACAAATTAAGAAAGCAAAACAAAATAGTCGTTTGATAAACTTGTTGACTGCGTGAGGTTTGGGCAGAACGGGAAATTTAACTCTCTCGGTCAGGACGCACGCTCGGTGCGTACATCCTGACCTGGAGCCAAATATTTTCTCGTCCGATCCGGTCTTCCCACTCAGTCAATTAATAAGAACACAGCCTTGGGAGCCTCAGTGTCCCGCCTTTCACCGCTTCTATGGAACGATCAGAATCGGAAACGTTCCCTCGAGGACATCCACAAATGACAAATTATTTCTTGAATATCGCTACTACAACTTTCACAGTTCTCAAAAGATCTATGCAAAAAGATTTTCCCCACTCAAGCCCACTTTAAAAATTAAACTATCGGATCAAAAATCGCATACAAGTGAATACACGAAAGATCTTGAACTTGAACTGCAAAGAAAGATGTAATAACATGAATACCGAGAGGAA